AATCATTTCAAATGGGCTTACTAATGATTTTCTCTTAGATTACTTTGTATAAAGAAATCTGTTGCTTGTTCAATATTCTCAAGCTTAAACTGTGAGCATTTTTTAACATGACCACCTATTCAGTGTCCAGTGTTGTGTTGCATTATTTTATAAAATACTAGGTTTAGGAAATAACAGATAACGTCAAATATTTCGTGTTGATTTCCCCAAATGATAATCTTTTGTGATTTTTTTTCTCTTTAAGGAGATAGAATATTCTTAGAAGTTCATTGGGGGAAAACTTCTAACCATGTTCTATCAATCCTGTGTAATTGACTTTTTTTCTAGCACTATGTCATCTAAGACTAATACTATTGGAATTAGATGTTTTCATTGCATTTTTTATAAGCTGTATTTCATACATGGCTGGCAGCTTTATAAAGGTTACAAGACATATAGCTTGTGATATTGCTGAGAGGAGAATAGAGAATAAGTACTCAGTATGCCAAACAGAGATTATCTCAATGTTCCAAAGACATGTCTACAACACTCTGAAATTTATGCTTGATATTTTTTTAATTCCCTAGTGGAATTCTATCAATGACATGCCTTAATTTCTATGAGAACTTCATTTTACATACCTTTGCCTCTTTCTTTTTTTCCTTCCTTCCTTCTTTCCTTCCTTCTTCCTTCCTTCTTTCCTTCCTTCCTCTACACTTTTATACCTTCCATCCTGCCATCTTTCCTTCCTTTTTTACTTTCTTTCTTTCTTCTTCCTCTATGCTCCCTCTCCTTTTCTTTGTTTAGTCTTTTGGAATTGAAAAGGTTGCATGTAGGGACCACTGAGATACTTCTGATCAGATAACACTAAGGAAACCAAGAATGTTAATCACACAGAGTTGTCTCTTAAAATAAAGAGATGTATAACCTGTTTTCAACAAACAGTCTGGAGATAGCTGTGGTTAATAGTCTGGTGATCTCTCTGCTATCTGTTGCCAATTATTTAGAAAGTACCCTGTGGCTTTCTTGTCTGCACCAGTGCCTTGAGCTGACCGAGGGCACCAGCTCTGCACCCAATCCCAGAACACCCAGATGAGACTGGAGGCCCAGGAGCTCTAACACACACAGGAACATAGGATCACAGGATCATAGGATCTCAGGAGCTTGTTCACACCAGGTTTTCAGGATCCCAGAAGCAGCCTGACTCTCAGGAGCTCTTACACACAGGATCTCAGGATTACAGGATCACAGAGACAATTGGACTCTGAGGAGTTCTGACACAATCAAGATAACAGGAGAGGCAGGCTCCAGTTAGAGACAGTTACTACAGGTAACACTAGACATAACCAGATGGTGAAAGGTAAGCACAAGACTACAAACAACAGAAACCTAGGTTACTTGGCATCATCAGAATCTAGTTTTCCCACCCTAGCAAGTCCTGGATACCCCATGACACTGGAAAAGCAAGAGTCAGATTTAAAATCACTTTTCATGTTGATGATGGAGGAATTTAAGAAAGACATAAATAACTCCCTCAAAGAAATACAGGAGGACATAGGTAAACAGGTAGAAGCTCTTAATAAGGAAACACAAAAATCTGTCAAAGAGTTACAAGAAAACACAACCAAACAGGTAAAGGAATTGAGCAAAACCATCCAGAACATAAAAATGGAAGTAGAAACAGTAAAGCAATCACAAAGCAAGACTACCCTGGAGATAGAAAAATTTGGAAAGAGACCAGGAGTCATAGATGCAAGCATCACCAACAGAATGCAAGAGATAGCAGAGAGAATCTCATATGCAGAAGATAAAGTGGAAAACATTGACACAACTGTCAAAGAAAATGCAAGATGCAATAGTGATAAAAACTGCATGGTATTGATACAGAGACAGACAGGAAGATCAGTGAAATAGAATTGAAGATCCAAAAATGAACCCACACACCTTTGGTCACTTGCACTTTGACAAAGGAGCTAAAACCATCTAGTGGAAAAAAGCCAGCATTTTCAACAAATGGTGCTGGTTGAACTGGAGGTAAGCATGTAGAAGAAGCAAATTGACCCATTTTTATCTCCTTGTACAAAGCTTAAATCCAAGTGGATCAAGGACCTTCACATAAAACCAGAAACATTGAAACTAATAGAAGAGAAAGTGGGCATGAACCTCGATAACATAGGCACAGGAGAAAAGTTCCTGAACAGAACACCAATGGCTTATGCTTTAAGATCCAGAATCAACAAATGAGACCTCATAAAATTGCAAAGCTTCTGTAAGGTAAAGGCCACTGTCAATAGGACAAAATGGAAACCAACAAATTAGGAAAAGATCTTTAACAATCCTACATCTGATAGAGGGCTAATATCCAAAATGTACAAAGAACTCAAGAAACTAGACTCCAGATAATCAAATAACCCTATTAAAAATGGGATAGAGAGCCCAACAAAGATTTTCAACTGAGGAATATTGAATGGCTGAGAAGCACCTAAAAAACTGTTCAGCATCTTTAGTCATCAAGGAAATGCATGTCAAAACAACCCTGAGATTCCACCCCACACTACATCAGAATGGATAAGATCAAAAACTCGGGTGAGAGCAGATGCTGGCACAGATGTGAAGAAAGAGGAACACTCCTCTATTGTTGGTAAGACTGTAACCTTGAACAATTGCTCTGGAAATCAGTCTGGTAGTTCCGCAGAAAAATTGACATAGTATTACCTGAACATTCAGCCAAACCACTCCTGGGAATATACCCAAAAGATGCTCCAACATATAACAAGGACACATGCTCCACTATGTTCATAGTAGCTTTATTTATAATAGCCAGAAGCTGGAAAGAATCCAGATGTCTTTCAACAGAGGAATGTATACAGAAAATGTGTTATATTTGCACAATGAAGTACTACTTAGCTATTAAGAACAATGAATTAATAAAATTCTTAAGCAAATAGATGGAACTAGAGAATGTCATCCTGAGTTATGTAACCCAATCACAAAAGAACACACAGGGTATGCACTCACTGATAAGTGAATATTAGCCCTAAAGCTCAGAATACCCAAGATTAAATGAACAGACTTTTGAAGTTCAAAAAGAAGAAAGAATATAGTTTATGAGTTACTCATATGCATGTACAAATAATAAGGGACAAGATAAAATCCACAGGGCTGGATATTTTTGTCAATTTTTTTATTGTATTGTTTATGTTCCTTATTGCAATTGGACCTCTAACCATACCCTTATGTGGCATAAGCTGTATTACACCCATTTGTTTTTTCAGTAAATTTTTGCAATTGAACAATAGAATTAAGCCCCCCCGAAATGTGATGATTTTTGCATTTATTGGGTTTTTAAATGATTGTACCTACAATGTCCTTTCTATTGCCAATCCTAGGTTGGATTACTAGAATTAAAAGAGAGATCTCAAAGATGGACTGTATTGTTAATAAAATTACTAATATTTCTCAAACTCTTAGCAGAAATTGATTAAGTGATGGGTGAATTGAGGAGCACATTTTTTTCAAAGTAGATCTACTGTAGATTATACGTCTCACGAGAATAATCTTGGTTGTCAACAATTTTCTGGCATGTGTTGCTTTGATGTGTCAGATGTTTCTCGTTCTATTGAAGGTAACTGAGTGATTTACAAAGAGAGATTTAAGAAAACATTCTCTCATGAGGTCAAGGATCTCATCTTCCACCTGTGCCCGGCAGGGCCCTCTACTCTTACATATTCAGCTGAAGCCCTAGATCCCTCCATAAGTGCTCCCAGGCTGGTGGTTAGGACCCTGGGAGCTGTGGTTGGTTGGTATTGTTGCTCTCCTCATGGTGCCACAAACCCTTTCAGCTCCTTCAGTCCTCACTCTAACTCCTCCATTGAGAACCTCATGATCAGTTCAATGGCTAGTTGTGAGCATCTGCCTCTGAATATGTCAGACTCTTGAAGGCCTCTGAGGAGACATCCATATCAGGCCCTTATCGGCATGCACTTCCTGACTTCCACATCAGCATCTACCTTTGGTGACTGCATATGGGGTGGATACTCAGGTGGAAAGGTCTTCAAATGGCCCCTCCTTCAATTTTGAGGGTGGG